GCAGTAGCTGTTCGAGATCGGCCTCCCGCTGTTCCAACGGCCAAGAAGCACGTGCAATCAGGTGAGCTCTGGATCGAAAGCTGCTTAACAGTGTCCGTGTGTTTGCGGCAGAGTTGGGGTGCAAGAACTTCCAGGTCTCAACAGGCTGGACATACTGTACTCGTAGTTCCTGTACATCCACATGAAAACCCAGGAAAAGGTCTCCATCCTCATACTCAAGAACGATGGGCGGTATGTATACATCCTGGTGCAGAAAAGCTTGCACGGCAGCATAGTTGGCATGGCGATCAAGAATCAAACTCATCCGGTTGTCGACATATCGAACCACAAGGCCGAAGGTTGGCAAGCGAGAAGACTCTAACAGACATTTGCCAAAGTACATGTGCTCGTATAGGCTTACCACAGCATGGCAAGCTGCCGGGGAAAAGTGGCTTCCCATCGGTGCACCTCGGATTTGTTGAATGGCCTGCTGACCCACCATGAATAGATTGAACTTGAAGGACACCTGTACAGCCTCCAGAAATAGGTCCATTGGGACAGCCACTCGTTTGTCATTCAACAGGCAATGCCGACCACGGATAGTTTTCATAACTGACATGTTGTTTTCCAAGTCCACAGTCACCACAACGCCTTTTAAGGCATGATCAAGATCCGCATCCGAGACGTCGTAAAAACGACAAAGCAATATGCGAAAGGTAATCATGAACCGTTCCCGTGGAATGCTCACGAAAAAACCTGACAAGTCTTGATTATGCATGGCAAGCTTTTGTCTGTCTTGATCCGAGCTGTGACATCGCTTCTCAAAGAAAGCATGTATGTTCTGCCAAAGCAAGATTGCATCGTTGTAAGATCGAGTGTGAGGACACACTTCAGCGACAAGCATCTCTGTGACTCGCGCCATCACAACCAAGAACTGGCGAGCCGGGTGAGAGGCAAAACTAACGATTGGCCTGCCTCCTTTCCATTCTTTCTTGAACTTGGGGAGAATGTAAGCCCATGACACACGGGCAGCACGAGATCCAAAACGGAAGGGAAAGGATTCAAGAATGCGAGGTGGCACTGCATGTTCCATCTGGACCATAATTGTCGAGGGATTTAACGACAATGGCTTGAAGACCGATTCAGCAGTAAAAGTGTTCTGGAGCATCATCCAATACTTCACAGGACAGAAAACATGCGCATGCGAGCCTTCATGGTCACGGACATGCCACACCAAGCCGTTGGTCCTTCTTCGCAACTCACGAACCTGATCCACTGACCAATGTGTTCCAACGTGTTGTGAGTGCAGCTTCCAAGCCTTCTGCCACACACTTCGAATATCAACAGTCGGGTAATGCATCAAGCCATGGTGATCAATCCAATGCCTCACGTCTTCAAGAAACATCGTCCAATGATCCGTGGCGTTCATGAATACCGGATTGGAGCAACTGGACTGGGCCAACTGAGTCAAATCAGGTGGCAGGGTCAACAACGTGGCAGAAGAAGCAATGTGACCCTGGACAACAGTCAGGTGTGGATGACGTCGAAGAAGTTCATGGCAGCAACATGTGACACCAGCGTGTTGCGGCTCCTCGTGCGGGTCCCACGACTGCAGGATGGGTTTATGCGAAAACAACACATCCTTGATTTTAGGGTGACTTTTGGCAACAAGCGATGTCGCTGGAATGTGGTACGGCAGTAGTCGATCCGTCGATACATCCAGAATATCTCTCAACATGCCGCGAACCAAGCGTTTAAAGCCTACTTCAGGTAGCAAGAACGGAGTGGAAAGGGGGCGGCATGTAGTCGGGCACCTCAACTGTCGAAATTGCAGAACAGTGTTCAATCTGGACCTGCAGATCGTCTCATAGAACGGGTCACCCAGATGAGTGGCCATCCTGAATAATCTATAGAGAAAATCCGAGTCAACTCGATTGCTGCGCAGATATTTTTGGGCAAGAAAGGACTTCAGCCCGTCAGAAGCTAAGTCAAACAGAATCTGATAACTGTATACAATGTTCTGAACAATGTGTGTCGACCGGAAGACCGAAGGAGTCATTCCAGTGAGCTGGAAATTCCGACGTCGAAAGCGTCGGAAGGTTCTCCACGAGGTCACAAATCGCCGAACACATCTGACTGGATCCGAGTTGGCAAGCTGTGCATGTTTTGCTCTGACAAGAGAGCGAACCCAAGGAGCATTTAGGTGAGGCTGTAGCAAGTTGATAAATGTCTGCTCAATCGTGCGCAAACAATCGGCCTGTGGGACGTGCATGATCAACAGAGGAATGGCCATGTGATAATTCTGTCGTCGATAATGCCAAAACAACGAAAGTTCACCGCACACTGACTTGCCGGCCTTGATCTGTTGGAATTTCCCCCATCTTGTACGCTCACGGTCGCCCAGTGTTTGGGATGATGATCCGACATACATGAATTTCTGTAACTCAGGCTGAAGAAAGATGCGACAATAGATCACCGACTGCGTCTGAAAGAATTTCCAGGTGTAGCTGGAGCATTTTAAACGTAGCTGAGAGGTCAATGGCGACTGTACAAGCCCGAACTCACAAGCAAGCAAAAGGAGTTTTCCACGGATCCAAATAACAATGTCCATGCATTGTCGTCCGAACATGGTAGGGGTCTCGTAGAGACCTTGGAAAAATAAATGAGCATTCCGAAGCAAATCCACTTCACTTCGGTGCCGTTTCCACCAACCTTGTGGCGGATGGTCAGTGCGATACACGTCCCTGGCATCCAATATGGCCTGTAGTCAAGCCACGAGAATTGTTCCGGCAGCAAGAATACGGAGCAGAGAATTCGCCTTAAGCTTGGGAATGTCACGGATGGGTACGCCCCAATTGGCAACAACCTGATCCAATTCGGCCTGCTCATTGGAAGGAAGGTCCGCATGCCATCGTTGGACATGAGCTGTCCATGTTTGGAGCTTCTGTCGATTGTTCTTGCTCAAGTTCAATCCTTCAATCCACGTCGATACTTCTTTGTCCGACTTGCAAGCCTTCCAACTGCGACTCAAGAAGTGACGTTTGCTGGGATCCGTGAGAACAATCTTCACAACCTGTCCAACATGCGAGGATGTTCCATACTCAGGCTGAGGAGCTGAACTCGAATTGCCTGGGTTGCGACCCTGGGTCTCAGCTTCATCGGGCTCGACACTCAAAGGTTCAGCGTGATTCCCGGATGGTTTGCCTTTCTGGAATGCCTGCATGAGACTGGTTTTAGGCTCAGCCGTCTGACCACGAAGAAGGCGAGTGGCACCATCCGGAACTTTCTGAGCTGAGGGCGCAGACTCCGGCACACGTCCTTGGGGGCTTTCTTCAATCGGCAACGTTTTCAGACCTGCAACCTCTGGATTAGAAGATCGGGAGGGGGAAGCATTCTCGAAATTCGCAAGTTGTTGTTGAAGAATCTGAATCTGATTGGCCATGGCTGCCTTCTCTGTGTCAACAGAGGCCTGAGGATACAGACCTAGCATGTAGTCAACAACCTTCTGTGCCAACAAATGTGTGGCCTGCGACTTTGAGTCCGAACCGCTGCTCTTGGAAGCAGGGTCACTGATACCAAGCACAATAGAGGCAAGCTCATCCAAGTCGACGTCTTCATCTCGCAACTTTCCAAACAAGGCATGGCAAAATACAACTTCACCGATCGATTTGAAGCCTGCAAAGAAAGTCGGCTTTCCTTCGGCAATATGGCGCACCCAATACGAATTCCAACCTTGATAAAGCAACGAGTGAAGCGGTATCATATGGGTCGGACATCCATCAATCTGCTTTCGAACTGTCCAATCAGTCTTCTTTACCCAACGGGCCAAGTTCAAGCCTGCAATACAACGGGAATCCAAATAATTTGGGTTCTGGCAAAACTCAGCTGGCATCATCGGGCCGAAGACTCTCGGGGAGTTTGCAGCAGGAGGGGAAGGGAGGCCTGGAATACGAGGGGTTGGCGAGATGTTCATAATCTGAGCAATGCGTGGATTGGGTTGCCACGTAAGATTCTGTGGCTGAAGCACTGCCGGTCTGTTCACTGGTGGGGCGGGTCGGGGAGCAGGGTGCTGCCAACTCTCAGGGGTAGGTGGGACCGAAGCTGGCAAAGAGGAGCTCCAGAAAGGGTTGCGGCGGGGGGAACGTTCACGATCCATGGCAGCAAATGAGAACAACAACTGACTGCAAAGCTCAAGCCGGAATGATCTCAAGAAGCGACTCCAGAATGCAACTCCGATCTGATTTCCAGAAATGTGATTTCCACTCAGTGATCTCCACTTGAACATGTTGTGAAACGGAATTGATTTCCAGACCTGCTAACACAAGAACCCCGGTGGGCCGGCAACTTCGCCGAATAGCGACAAGGCCCTCGTGAGGGAGCTCTTGCCGAACACAACTGGAAAGGCTCCTACTGACCCGGCCTTCTGGATGTTCTGATCGTCCGATGCAGATACTTTCATGGACATGTTCAAACAGATTGCAGCAACCGTACAAAGCTTCAAAGCAAATAAAGGAATGGTCAAGTTTTCAGCGAAAGTCAAACTGCATGAAAACAACATGTTTTGAAAACACATGTTGTGGCCACCAGCTGGAGTGCTTCTCCCCAAGTGCGCCACTGCAGGTACGTTTTCACTGCATTCACAGAAGCGTCTTCGTTGGCTGGAGACTTCTGTGATGCACTCCAGCCCCCTGCAAACTTAAAAGCGAAAAGAACATGAAAACAGGAAAAATCATGGGTCAAAGCAAAAACCAACAACGAATTTTAACCAGAAATGCCGAGGAAAAGTGAACATGTGAATGCAGGTTTGTCGCATGTACAGCAGAATAACACAAACAAAAACGAGCGGGCAAGCTGCTGGAAAAATGTAATCCCGGCTTCTTAGCAACGACGATACCAGCTCAGTGAGGAGATGCCTCAACTGTGAATACATAGCGGAGACATGTGAGACAGCCCAGCTTCACTCTGCCACAAGCATCGACCATCTCCTAGTTCCGCTCCCGGGCTAGCTTCAACCAGGGCTCATCCGTGTTGGAAACAGCTGCCAGGGGGGCTGGTTCGTGATGGTCTGTTGTCCGACCTCCTGAAATTTCAAGCGAGATTTCACTGCCCACGCAGTGCTGGCTCATGAAATTGTGCGGACATGGACAGCCTTCAAAAGTATGAACAGCTCAGCCCGCAAGAGGTCCGTGTTTGTCTATCTGCAGCACACGAACAGTTGATGCCGGGCTCCTGCACGCTCTTGGCTTGCACCTGTTCCAGGGTTTCGAAACTGCTGTCAGCTCCCTCTGAGATCTGCTACCAAAGGAAGTCAGAAGCCAACATCGTCCTCTTCATCCTGGCTCTGGCAATGTCTCTCAAGCTATGACAAACATCAGAGGCAGGACTATCGCGGTGGTAGTAGCCCCGAGTCCCAAACCCCCACACCTCCCACCCGAACAACTGGCCTGGAAAATGCCAGCCGCGGCGTCAGGCCCAGGAAGAGGCACACGAGCTGCAAGCAGCTGAAAAAAGACCACGCCCAGCGAGAAGATGTCCTTATCCGACTGCGTTGAGCTATGAGGATATTACTATATGCCTACGAATATGGCTACGTGTAATGACTTGCGACCATAACATACTACTACTACTACTACTACTACTACTACTACTACTACTACTACTACTACCACTACTACTACTACTACTACTACTACTACTACTACTACTACTACTACTACTACTACTACTACTACTACCTCTGCTACTACTACTACTACTGCTGCTACTACTACGACGACAACTAGAAATTCCTTTTACCGTTGAGCGGCGGCACACTTGTGCTTCAACAACTGACTTTTCAGCCCTGCATGTGGGACCGGCAGAGGGACGAGAACTTCGGCCGGTGCCGAGGCGACATGTTCATACCACCGTGATTGCTATACCCATCATACATACGGTGCCGTGAATGCCATAAACAGCGGCAGTTATCCTGCGGTGCACCACACCGCCAACACACGAATACGCAGTCTTACACACATTACACATATTCTCTCGGTGCATTCTTCCTTGCAGTGTAGCACAGACAGGTGCCAAACATATGACGACAACAGACATGCCAAAGAATGAGAAGAAGGTGACGAAAAAGACAGCACCGTCAAGAAAGGCATTTTGGCTTTCAGACGAACAGAAACAGGTTGCAAAGCCACAGTTTGCCAACATCAGGTCGCAACGGGAGAGTTCCCTGACTGGTTGACTGAAAATGCTGCACAAACCAGTGCAGCTGAAGTACACCCTGCGGTTGCCAGCGGTACCTCTTCCAGGTTTCGGGAGGAATGTAACCTGTCGAGGCCACGTTGTGCACGCATGACCACATAGAAACGAAGCAAACCAACCTGGCCTGGAGTGCCACTGATGCCAGTAACTTTGCTGCAGAAGCTCTGCGCACGTCCGAAGTCTGGCAACGAGAGTTTCTGAGAGGCTTTGTACGTCTCAGCAACTGCCTGCTCTTCGTCTTCTCTTCTCTACATTGATGTTGGATACGTTTCCTGTGTGCTATTCACATTCCCCTGCACTCAACGTCTCCTCTCTGTGTGTTACCTCTGACAAGCAGTCAGTGCACATCATGCGTGGCTCCGCATGGAGTCATGCCCAGTGAAACAACCTTCCCCAACGCCTGCGCGACAAAAGGATCAACTCAACAGAGAAAGAAACACCCATCGTTGACAGATCCTGCCTACAAGAACAACTTCAGGATTTTTGAAGTCGTCGTGACGAAGCATTGTGTTCGGCTCCTTGATGTCCTTGGCTTTAAAGCGATGTCAGCGACAACACAATGCAGCTGCGCCCAGACTTGCACAGAACCCTATCTCCAAACCCAACTGAACTCATAAGACAAACATGCAAGTACATGGTTAACTACATTTGATGTATCTAGTCTTGTAGTGACTCTGGTCGCCGCACGATAATCTTGGACTACCTGTCATGCGTCTAAGACTCTAAGTGCATTTGAGCCTCTCGGTGAAGGTACTCCACACCTGGCGCCCACACGACATTCCTCATGACAGAGGCATCCTGCTCTACAAGCACACGTGCCTTGCAAGCACTGTAAAAGTTCGCGCCACCAGCTTTCTCGCATCTCGATACTTTTGTCCTCAAACGTAACTTGTCAAGCTGCATGTCATTGCCAATCTCTAGCGGCATAGGTGGTTGGATTGCAAGCCATGTCTCGTAAGCTCGCTTTGCAAGCTTTGTGAGATCGCCCCCGAAGTACCTGCAGCTTTCCAGCAACATTGTGGCTGAACTTGCCCGCTCATCACGTGATCGTGCACACTCGTCTCTTTCTCTGCTGCGCCTCGGTGGGATTCGGCGGGGAGGGGAGGGAGCCGCGTGGGGGGGCTTTCGCACCCTCGTGGTGTAGTGCCCCACTTTCCCGCGACGACCTTCACCAGGGCGCTGGACCAGTTCCTTTCCTTTCCATCTCAACTTCAGTCCGCAGGCTCGAAGGCTTGGGCGCCAGGTCGAAGGAGATGCTGTAGCCCGACATTGGACATGACCTTGTGCCTGTGCGAAGTCCACCGCCCGGGCACCCGCCCGGTCTTGACTCTGCGAACCTGCTCATGATCACAGCAACACCCACACCACTTGCAGGGCACGTCATCATCTAAACTGCTGCTTCTTGCTGACTTGGGTACATGGCTACATGCCCGAGGCATAGGGACGCTAAATGCACTGCCTGCATTCATTGTTTCGCCGCTTCTTTAACCTCATGCTGCGACCATTGGGTTTGGCGCCAAGCCATCAAAGCCATTGTGGAAAAGGAGGAATTTCCTGCATCTGGGCAGCATTCGGGGCGTGCCCGACACAGTGCGAGCATCCGATCATCTGCTGCATCCGGGGAGGCCATGCTCCGCCACGATGTCGCTCACAAACGTCTCACTCGTGCGACAGACAAGTCGACAGGCAAGTGGTGCAGTGGGTCTTGTGTGTTAGTAGCTGCATATCAGTTCATGTAATTCACGTCTGGTTCCATGCCTGGTGTGTTTATGCTAGCTGCCAGGCAAGGCTTGAGATGAGCACCGCTAGGGAACAACCAAGAACATTCATGGGGTGGACTTCCGAAGAATGCATCACTTCCTGGGCAGCATGTCATTGCTCCCAATCTTTCCGAGCATACCAAGAGCACAAGCATGGATAGATAGAGTGATTGTAGACTTGTATCTGAGAGCTTCGGGGAGGGGGGGGTGGGGGCGGCCCTGAGCTAAACCCCCCAAACCCTAAAACCTAAACCAAACTCCAAACCGCTCTGAGGAGCCTAGGACTAGGAAGGCCCTAAGGCCTTAAGGGCCTCGGCACGTAGCGAGGACCCTGAGACGAGTTAACCAACTCCTTTCAACACCTTGCCTTCTGATATGTTGGAAACCGGCTCCCAAACACAAATCAAGCCTCCCCGCTGAACAACACCATCGTTGCCATGCCATCATCGCTACATGATTACATCCGAAACACCATTTCATGTTATTTGACATGACTGTGCGACAATGTCAACTACAACTGCTGACAACTGCGTTGGCCACACAAAATTGCTCACGAACGTTTTGCTCGAAGTTTCTGCAACTGTTGAATTTACCACTGTTGAACACGAACAATGGTCAGTTCAACATGACATGTAATTATCGAATAAATATTGGCACGACCAATTGAAACACACGCCGGCTTGCAAACGCTTGAGCCAGGCCAACAAAACAAAAGTCCTGTCCTTTGCATAGCTTCGTGGTTAAAGGTTGGGGCTCTCCGTTCTTTCAAAAAATCAGCGAATACTAAAACAAACGTCTTTCTATAAAAGCGAATCAATTATCGTATCTTCCAAATGAATCCAACTGGAGCGAATAATAAAGGAAGCGTGAAAGGAAAAATATCGGGCAATCAAGAGCACTCGGACGACACTTGTTTTAATCGCAGTGGTTGGTAGTCTCGCGGCACCCTTGGTAGGGCGGATGCATGTTGATGCATCCAGCCCCCCCGCGGCGTGGAACGGACTATTCTCGGAAATGCGCTGGCATTCCAGGGTGGGTTGGGTGGGCTAAAGAAAATGACAAGAGCCACGGCCTGAGCCTGACGTGGCACCTGTTGAAGACTTCCACTTCGTGCGACTGCAGGACTGACCCGAAATAAGCTGGATTGAAAATCGCTCAAGAGAAATTCAAGTTGTTTTATTCGCACTGGTTGGTAGTCTCGCGGCACCCTTGGCAGGGCGGATGCATGTTGATGCATCCAGCCCCCTTTCCCCTTCAGGAACGCACTACCAAGGTGTTTTCTCTGCCTTCCTCTTGTGAAGCTGATGCCCCGAGGCACCCTGCTGCAGCATGGCCTGAGCCCTTCGTGCTGAGTCGAAACCTTCCTTGGTCTCCCACAGCTGATGTAGGAGTGAAAGAGGCAAATCCGAGTATGTAACTGCAATGCGATGTTTGTCGGAGAAGTTGGTGAAAATCTCGTTCGTCAGCTGGTCGGCGTACTGATTCTCATCACGTGGCCTCCACCGCAGGAGGAGTTTCAAGGAGGAGCGAAGAAGCAAATCAGACAACTGCATGTTGATCAACATGAGGGGCCGCCCGGAGACCCATCCATCAGTGGTAGCAGCAGCACGAAGGCGCCACAGTGCACTATTCAACAGGCCCGTGGCCTGAATAGAAAGGGCAGACCCAGCGGGATGTCCGAGCGGAAAGAGCAACCGAAAAGTGCCCCGATACGCTCCCGGGTTCGTGAACATTAAAACAGCTTCATTCTGGCGAACACAACACCTGAGTGATGCTGCAATTAGATGGACTCAACGGTTCCTGTAAGTCTTCAACGGCAAGATCTTATCTTTTGCATAATTCTTTTGTACAGTTCCCTTTGTTGCATTCGTGTGGGTTGTTGCCCTTATCGATGGTCCGCACCCAAAGTGGACATCGGCGGCACTGGTGGCCGAATAGGTGTTCCAGACACAGCAGCTAGAACACTTCCACCTTTGAGCTGCAGGCGGACTTTTCGGACAAATAGGATCTGGTCCAAACAGGTAATTTTGATGCTTTCTTGGCACAGGTGCCTTCCAGAAGAACTCTTAACTTCTACCGCCACAGGCGAGACCGAAGTCCGCTTCCAAGAAAAACAGAGTGTGCATCTTTCACTTGAGCTGAAAAACATTCGAAGCAAAACGAAACGAGACAAAACGAGTGCGGTCACTAACCTGATTCAAAAGCACTTCTAACATTTGAGGCAGACCGAAAAACACCAAAGATCAAATCACACTTTTTCCAAACAGGCGCAGAATCCTGTCCGAAATCAGAAAATATACGGATCTGTGTTGCGGAGGGGTGGCATGGGTCTGTGTTGCGCGGAGATGTGGTGGAATTTGCTGAGCAAGCTTGGCAACGGTGCTCCGGGACACCGCCGATGCCCACGCATACAAGGGAGCGAGGTGGGGTTTGATCCAACCACTATTCTAGAAACAAACCCTAGTCCTCTCTCTGGGGAGGGTGTTCCAAGCACTCCACTCTGTAGTAGCTACGAGGCTAGTTTCGAGACACAGGGTAGAATTCGATACTCGGAGGGTCTGTCGATTTTAAGGGCTGAAGGCCGTACGGCTCGCAATCTTAGGGGCTCTAAAGTGCTTGCAAAACGGGCGCGCGCGGCATCGGAAGCACTTTGAGGGCACGCGGAGGGTTCGCGAGCTGCTCGGAGGTGCACTGTCGCGCTCCGGAGCTGTTTGGGGAGCGACGCGCGCTTACGCGCGCTTGTTCGGCGCGGAGGGCGTGCGAGTAGCTGCCAAGTTGCTCGTAGGCGGTTTGGCGAGTGCTCGTGAGTTGCAAGCAAGGAGCTCGTGAGTTGCTCGTAGGCAGCGGGCGAGTGCTCGTGAGTTGCGAGCAGGCAGCTCTGAGTTGCGAGCCAGGAGCTCGTGAGTTGCGAGCAAGGAGCTCGTGAGTTGCGAGCAAGGAGCTCGTGAGTTGGCGAGCCAGGAGTCCGTGAGTTGCGAGTAAGGAGCTCGTGAGTTGCGAGCCAGGAGTTCGTGAGTTGCGAGTAAGGAGCTCGTGAGTTGCGAGCCAGGAGTTCGTGAGTTGCGAGTAAGGAGCTCGTGAGTTGCGAGCAGGCAGTTCGTGAGTTGCGAGCCAGGAGTTCGTGAGTTGCGAGCAAGGAGCTCGTGAGTTGCCGGCAAAGCTGCTGGCGAGTGCTCGTAAGTTGCCAGTAAGCAGTTCGCAAGCTGCCGGTGAGCACTCGTCGGCTGCTGGCAAGAGGCGCGCCCTTAAAGTTCCTCTAAAGCCCGTTTTGCAAAGACTTTAGAGCCCCTAAGATCGTCAGAGCTGCGGGCCGTAGGCCCGCGAATCCATAGTGCTCCAAAGTATCGAATTCTGACCTATGTCTCGAACTCAGGCTTGTAGCTATCACAGAGTGGAGTGCTGGAACACCCTCCCCAGAGAGAGCGAAAAGCGCTTTTCCTTGCTTCCTCCGGGTACAAGCAAAAGGAATGACAAAAATGACAAGAATGACAAGCTCCAGCCGGCCGGCCGAAAAAAAAAATAAATAATTAAATAATTAATTATGGCCTCGATGCCTGGAAGGTGGAAGTGAAGGTGAACTACTTCGAAAATTTTCACTTCGAAGTAGAAAAAAGTGACTCGGAAGTAATTCACTTCCAGAACTAATTAATTATTTAATTTTTTTTTCTCGGCCGGCTGGAGCTTGTCATTCTTGTCATTCCTGTCATTTCGAGAAGTTATACGGTAAGGCCGCAACTGGACCGCGATGTTACGGAGGCAGCGGAAAGCCCGCTTCTCTCAGCGCTTGCCGGTGCTGCTCCGTTGCCCGAACATAGGCTTGCGGAACATAGGCTGCGAGTGCCCACATGCTGCCCTCGTGCGGCTCCACCATGTGATACCGGCGGGCGTCGAAGCTCACCGGCTTGTCGTGCATGTCCAGCCACCGCCCCCGCAGCTCTCGCGCCCCTTTCTTGTCGGCCAGCCAGGCCGTGGAGTCCCCCTCGTCATCTTCGATCCACACCCGCCCTCCTGTGTACTCGCCCAGAGCCAGCGCGTGATTCGCGTGCCCTGGCATGTTCTGAATGTCCCGGTGCAGCCCCATGCGCGGGTTGAAGAGCACAGCTATGGACGTCCAGGTGCCGTTCGGAAAGCGGCTCTTGAGAAAGCTGTTCACGGCTGCACAGGCTGCCCGCAGGCCCGTGGCATTGGAGACCCCGACCACCCTGCCGTGCCCGAACAGCCCCAGCGTGGCATATCTCTCATAGGCCCCCGGCCCCACGGCCCGAGTGCGGCCCCGGTGCTTCCAGTCGGCCGACCACAGATCCAGCAGCCGCACGAGATTGGCTTCGGTCGGCTCCTCCGTGGCGTTCCGGCACGCCACTTCCATGCTTTTTTATTAAAGCAACACCCACTTTTTCAACGCAGGGTTCAGCGTCGGTCCCACCTGTGTTCATGGTTTTGATGCTCAGGCGCAGCGATTTCGACATTGCCGGCATTTAGCACAAAAAACGCGCATGGCCCTTAAAACACCATGCCGCACCCAATTTTTTGGGATTTTGAAGCCGCCCCGGGAGGGTGCGCCCCGACGGCCCTCGGCAGCCGGCCGTTTTGCGAGCCGACCACGCACCGGCGAGAGCCCGATTTCGGCGTGCCCCCCGTCTAGGGTTTGAGCACGTTTTCGGCCGGATCGTCCCTTTCCTGTCGAATCGGTGCCGGCCAGCCCCGGAACGTGCTCGGGGAGGGTTTAGGATGGGTCGAACACAGCCACACGGAATCGCCAGGCATCACGGAACCGCCACGGCCCCGATCTTCGGGGTGCGCCCTGCCTATGTTTCACACACCCTCCCGGGTCCGCCGGCCAAAAGCGACACAGCCAGCCTCGAGAAGGCCCGCGCATGGCCCATTTGCCGGGCCGTTTCACACCAAACTGTGGCGAGAGCGCGATTTCGGTGGATACGTCCCCTAGGTTTGGCTCAAGTTTTCGTGGCTGGGTGCGCTCAGTGTCGATTTGCGGCGAGTCTGTGGCCGCCGTCGACCTGATCCGTGGGGGTTTAGGATGCTCACAGATGCTCGCCTTTGCTCACTGTTGCCTTTTTGTTTTTTGATTTGTAGTGTAGCTAGGCTCGCCGACTTTTGCAGTAACAATTTCCTAGAGTGCTTTCGCCGGGGTTGCTGTTGGTTTGGTTCAGGGCACCCGAACCCCTTCGGCCCCAGCAGTTGGCTTTGATCTTCGCGTCCCCTGCGAGTGCTTTGCTGCCCTAACCCCGTAGGTCCCTTTCCCGTCTGCCCTGCGTTGAGCTTCGGCTGCCGCGCACGCTCCTCCAAGGTGGTTCGTCGCACAGTACAGCAGTAGAGCACAACAGTACAGAAAGACACAGCACGGCAGCACGGCGCAACGGCGCGGCACTGCAGCACACACAGTATCAATGTAGGGGACGGCCTGGGCTGCAGGGCCCTCGGGCTCTCGGCAGGCTGTCGGCAGCGGCGAGTGATCGGAGTGTGCACTTGCTGCGTTTGAGTTCCTCTTGCGGCAGCCACTTTGACTTCACGTTTCGCCTTAGTAAACTGTAGCACCGGGCGCGGGCCTTGTCGGCGCAGAGATCCAGAAGCTCGCTCTCGTAGTCGAGCAGTTCACTGCACCTTTCCGATGGAGTCATCCGCAGCTGCAGACGGTGCAGATATTTTGAACCTGGACTCGTTGCCCCCTGAGGTTCGCACGCCCCTCGCGAACTATCTGATTATCTTGGAGACAACTCTCGTCAGCTGGGGCAAGGAGGAAGGTCCGACTGACGTGGCCAAATGGAAGGAGTCGGGGCGCTTGTTCGTGGAACACATGGGCCGCACAGTGCAGTATATCAGTGTCGACAAAATTACCGAGCACGTCAAGCGTCGTTTGGAGATTCAGCTCACGGAGACTCAGCTGGCTCGCGCGGCGGTCAAGCTCAGTGAGATTTGCCGACATGCAACCTCGGACTCGGCTAGTTCCTGGAGGAACTTCTGGAGTGGTGCCGGATCGTGCCAAAACAGAGAGCTGCGGTCAGTCTTTGCGTCTGGGTTTGTTTAGTCAGTTTAGTCTTCCGGGTTTCCCTTTCCCTCACCCTTTGGGTTCCCTTAGACTGCCTCTCACTACCCTGCTTTGCTGCGTTTTATGTGCCTTAACCGTCGCCTCCTGCCCGCTCAGGCTTGACCTCGCTGGGCGGCGGGGGTAGTTGCGGGCGGTCGGGCGGGTAGGTGGGCTTTGCGTCGGGACCTCAGCTTGCTTGGGTTGCTTCGGTGTTCGGGTTTCCCCTTCCCCAACCCTTTTGGTTACCCTAGGCCGCCTCTCACTGCCCTGTCCCGTTGCCCTGTCCCCGTAGGCTGCCCCTTGCCCACGCCTTTTCCGCCCAGGTCTGGACCTTCTCCGCCGGCGTGGTGCTCCCAGAGGTTCTTCGGGGGTTGTTCGGATGTTGTGCGGGCTTGGGTTTCCTGTCGTGCGAGTGCAAGTGCACAGGAGGGCCCTGTGCTGCTGGCCCTGCAGCCCGCCTCGTCCCGGGAATCCCGGGCCCCGCCTTCGCTCCCAGGTCCGGACCTTCTTCGCTTGGGCGCTCCGCTTCGCCAGTGCACCCTCTCTCCCCCTAAGGCCTTCCCTAACTTCCCGCTCCGCCCAGGTCCTCGTCTTCATCAATCCGCGGAGCTTCTCACTCAGAGTGATTTGCCGGGGTGGTGTTGGAAGGGTTCAGGGTTTCTGTCGTGCAAGTGTGTGCGCGCAGGAGTGCTGTCCCCTTCCCCGCCTGTAGAGTGCCCTGCGTTCCTTCACCTCCGGGAGCCCCGGCCCCTTCGCCGCTGCGCTCAGGCTGCTTTGCTTGCCGAGTCATCTTCTCTGGGACGGCCTGGGGCTTGGGGTCTGCTCTCTCTAGTGAAAGCTGCAGTGCTGTCGGAGTGCCGTGTTCGGAGTCATCAAGCCTTGCGTCGCAGTGCATTTTTTGCATCTCGAGATCACCTGCTGAAAGCCCCTGCTTTCATCATGACGAGCTCGCGAGCGCGGGCGTTGGCCGCAGACCTCGTGCTGGATGGATGCTTGACGCTAGTGGCTCGTCTCGGGCTCCGAGTGTTCCCCGAGGCGAGTGTGGAGCAGGCGTTCAAGAAGATGCGCGTCCTGACGCACCCAGACAAGTGCTCTCCCGAGCAGAAGGCGCGAGCCGAGGAGGCGTTCAAGGAGCTCGACAATCTCAAGGAAGACATCGGCATCCTGTCGCAGCACCTCATCAACGCCTTGCGTCGAGGCCGCCGCACGCCTCGGGAAGAAGCTTTGTTTCAGGAGCTCCGCGACCCTACGCCTGAGCCTACAGCGGCACCACCTCCGGCTCCCAAGGCAGCGCCCGAGCCAGCTCCGAAAGCAGCAGCTGCGCCGCCACCTAAGGCATCGCCCGAGCCAGCTCCGAAAGCAGCAGCTGCGCCGCCACCTAAGGCAGCTCCGAAGGCCAAGCGAGGACCGGGTCGGCCGAGGAAGACCGCGCCTCCGGCTCAGGCGGCTCCTCCGGCTCAGGAGGCGTCCAGTTCGGCGCCCAGCACCGGCAAGCGCAAGGCGGAGGACTTGCTCATCGTGGAGGAGCCGGTGAACAACCCCATAGACCGGGTTAGCCCGAAAGTTATCTTTGCCAGAACACCGGGGAATATCCTAGATCACAGGAATCCAGGATTTTTATCTTATCCTGTGATTTTGGAGATGATATCCAAAATCACAGGGTCGAGTTCTCCAAAATCACAGCGCAAAATTTTGGATCCCAGATCCAAAATCACAGTTTTATTTTCAACGTGTGATTTTGGATCTATATCCAAAATCACACTTCCCGAGTTCCTGCGATTTTGGATCTAGGTCTGGCCCGGCAGGGGTCGAAACTTCGACCCCCAAGGGTCGAAACTTCGACCCCTCATGGGTCGAAGTTTCGACTTCTCTCTGGTGAAACCACAAAAAATGCTGCATTTCTGTGACGAAAGCCCCATCGAAATTTCGACCTGCAGCCCTGAAACTTCGACCTGTGACCCTTCAAACTTCGACCAGTGAGGGGCCGAAACTTCGACGAAGTTTCGTCGAAACTTCGGCCTCGCCCGGGCCTAAACGAGTTAACTAAATCCTGTGATTTTGGATATGATATCCAAAATCGCAGGTTGAGCATATCCAAAATCACAGCGCCATTTCAAAACTGTGATTTTGGATATCTACGTGTTCCCTTTTTGCTCCCTGCGTCCTTCCTGTAGGGTTCCTTTTAGTTAAAATTTTGGCTCCAGCCAAAATTTTAACTAATAGTTAACTTTTGGGCTAACCCAGTCTATGGGGAAGGCGAGCATCGAGGCCTTCATGAAGCTCCGCGGCGCGCGGAAGGTGATCCTCGCCACCGGGTACAGCCTCTTCGAAACGCTCGGCTTCTTCTTGGTCCGGCGGGGCGGCAATGGCTGCGTCACGACAAGCTGGCGCGAGAGCAAGTTGCCCGGCGACATCCTCGGCCGCCGCTTCTCGGGTGTGGACTTTGACGTGGAGCCGCCTGTGGTCTTCTGCGATGTGCCGCACAGCCATGCCTGCACCTCGGCTTTCGCGCACTGCCGACTCGTCAAGGAGATCTGCCGCCAGGGCATCGACGGCTGGGTGGACGTGGACGTGGTCAACAGCGTCTTCTCGCAGTTCGAGGCCAACTTCAAGGAGTGCCCCGAGGCGGTGAAGCGCTACAACAAGGACCGCGACGGCATGGTCGCGGCGGTGCGCGAGGCCTACGGCTGCTCCAGGGACGTGGCGAAGCGGCTCTTCATCCGCTTGGGCTTCATGGGCAAGCTGGAGTCGTGGCTCCAAGACTTCGGGCTGGAGAAGAACGACAGCCCTCTGGAGGCGGAGCTGGTGTCCTTCGGCGAGGACATGCGGAGCTTCGGGGAGGCCCTGGCGGTGGAGCATGCTCAGTGGTTCGAGCTCTTCAAGGGCAAGAAGTACCCCCTGGGAAGCTTCATGTCCGCGATCTACTTCAAGCTCGAGCGGCAGTTCCTCGACCGCATGATCGCGGCGGTCCCTGTGCCGGCGACCCGCCGGGCGTCCCTTCGGCGCATGCCGAACGTCTCCTCCGTGCGCAGGGAGTCCTCCACGACCGAGGCCCTCGGGTTCTTCTTCAAGAGCATCAGCTCCTTCGCGGCCTTGCGCATCTCCTTGTTGCCCCACCACTCGGGATGCCTGTGCTTCCAGGGCATGCTGCGCTTGAAGAAGTCGCTCCTCTTGGCGCGGGAGAAGCTGCCGTCGCGGAAGTCGTAGACCCAGCCGTCCTCGAAGAGAACCCGGTGGTTGGTGCGCAGCGGGTCGTCCAGTTGGGAGCAGGGCACCGCAGGTAGATCAGGGCCTCCTGCGCCAGGGCATTCAGGAAGGCCGGTCGCCCCAAGGGAACAGTGGGCTCGACGTGCGGTCGCAGTCTGTCGCCTCGACGGCCTTGCTTGAGAGTGCCATCAACCCAATGGCAGTGAACCGGTTCGAATATCTCGCGATGCTGGCGGGCGATGCGCCGGTTGGGGACTTCCGAGATGAAGACAAACCTCGCCCCCTCAATGGCCGAGAGGAAGGGCGAACATCCTTTGTTGGCGCCCTTCATGCAATACCCCCATTTCAAAGCCGCGCAGTAGCCGCCCGTGGGGCCCGTGCCCGCAAGCTTCTGCATGATGGAGACGCCGAGGTCCTTGCCACTCTGCGCGGGCCCGCAGTTCCACATCAGCTCGCAGAAGGCCGGATGGCCCGCGATCGCCCGAGCGAGGTTCTTGCCCACGTAGACGGCCTCGTCCACGTCCTCGTTGGGAGCAGCCACTTCAGAAAGGGGTCGTAGGCGGAGAGCTTCTCCAAGAGCTGAACGACGGCCTCGGCATCCAGCTGAACGGCTTGAGCGAGGCTGCTCTCCTGGCGGCCCTGAACGACCTCGACCCGCTCCTGCAGGTGACGATCAAGGCGCCTCAGGACCCGGTCAAGCTGGCCAAGGAGCAGTTTCCGGAGGAGGAGTGGGACGGGCCAGCGGCGGTGTCAAGTCTCCCGTTCGATGCGGCTGAACTGCATCGAGTGCTCTTGGTGACCCGGCGCTGCATGGGTCAGGGCGAGACGGAGGATCATCCCAGACCCAACGCCACCGACAACACGGTCGACTTCGGACGAGTCCTGGCTGCTCGCTTGGAAAGCGATGTGCTCGTGCCAGAGAATGATTCCGTGTGCCTTCAGTTCCAGCCTCAGAAAGGGCGGTGGGAAGTGCACAAGGTGTGTGAGAAACTCCATGGCCCTCCTCAAGCCTCTCTGCGAACAGCGCAATGCTGAGATCGCTTCCCGAGGCCTCTACCGGCGCGGCAACGAGTCCTTTACTCCTGCTGCTCTGATCGTGCTGACCTCGAACTTTCAGCCCCGCCTCACCCACGACGAGCGCCAGGACACCGGCAGTTCCACCAGAGTGAATGTCATCGCCGCCTCCAGCATCTTCACGGAGAACGTGCACCTGGCCACCCATCAGCAGAGCGACTCCCGGCTGGCGGACGATGTGCTCGAGGGCAAGCTCACGGCCTGCGCTTTTTACTGGCTCTCGGAGTTCTACCACCTGCTGGACCTGGTGGAGCACACGAGGAACGTGGCGCCCCGCCCCGACAGGATCAAGCAGGTCTCGGAGATGTGCTTCTACGGGCGCCCGAGGAATCCCGCTGGCTCCAGTGGCTCGCGAAGATCACCTACACGGATGACATCAACGAGGCCTCGACCATCGCCGAGGTTCACGAGAGCGGGGCAAGGCTCCGAGGAGGAGAGGCAGCTGATGCCGAATCTGACCAATGCCGGCTTTGCGGACAAGCCACGCGATGCGACCAAACGGGTCTGCAAGCGGCTGGTTCCGGGCCCAGATGGCAGGCAGATTCTGAGGATGGTGATTGCTCCGCCACCGCAGCCCTACTGATTCTCGGGCTACGAGGCGGCCTGGATGTTCTTTACAAGTTTCTGAAGTGCATGGGTTCCCGGCTTCCGATGTCGCATGGAGGTCGCAGAGTTTTCAGCTGTGGCCGCGCTCCCTCCGCTTGGGAGGGTTGCAAGGCATGCGCACAGATGCCGCACGGCCGACAATACTTCTATGGATGCCGTCAGGGCTATGAAACAAACGAAGCAGTCCCAAGCGCCCTGTGATTGTGTGAGTGCCCTGCGAGTGCCCTGCGAGTGCCCTGTGAGTGCCCTGCGAGTGTTTTTTTTGCTGCACGCCCAGGTCCTTCCGAGAACTTCCAGGCTCGCGCTTCGCAAGCTCCCCGGGTTGTCCCTAACTCCCGAACCCCGGCATCCGAACCCCTAGAACCCTAAATCCCTACTAGGCTGCCCTGTGAGTGCCTTGCGAGTGCCCTGTGAGTGCCCTGTGAGCGCCTTGCGAGTGTGTTGTGCGAGTGTCCCTGCCCTCCGAGAACTTCCAGGCTCGCGTCTCGCCAGCTGCCTCCCGGTTACCCTAAGTCCGAACCCCGCTCGACCCGAACCCCTAGAACCCTAAATCCCTACTAGGCTGCCCTGTGAGTGCCTTGCGAGTGCCCTGCAACTTCCCGGGGATAGAGGCCATAATTAATTATTTAATTATTTATTTTTTTTTTCGGGCGAGCTGGGGGGCTTGTCATTCTTGTCATTTCTGTCATTTGGAGAAGCTTGTCGGCAAGGCTAAAAAAGCCGCGAATCTTGTTCGTTTCTGGACCTTACCGACAAGCTTCTCCAAATGACAGGAATGACAAGAATGACAAGCCCCAGCCCGCCGCCAAAAAAAAATAAATAATTGAATAATTAATTAATTGGCTCCTCGGGGTGGAGTCCGAAGCTCTCACGGCGGTGCCGTGGGCTGCCCTGTGAGTGCCTTGCGAGTGTCGTGCGTGCCCTGCGACTTCCCGGGGATAGAGGCCATAATTAATTATTTAATTATTTATTTTTTTTTTTCGGGCGAGCTGGGGGGCTTGTCATTCTTGTCATTCCTGTCATTTGGAGAAGCTTGTCGGCAAGGCTAAAAAAGCCGCGAATCTTGTTCGTTTCTGGACCTTACCGACAAGCTTCTCCAAATGACAGGAATGACAAGAATGACAAGCCCCAGCCCGCCGCCAAAAAAAAATAAATAATTGAATAATTAATTAATTGGCTCCTCGGGGTGGAGTCCGAAGCTCTCACGGCGGTGCCGTGGGCTGCCCTGTGAGTGCCTTGCGAGTGTCGTGCGTGCCCTGCGACTTCCCGGGGATAGAGGCCATAATTAATTATTTAATTATTTATTTTTTTTTTTCGGGCGAGCTGGGGGGCTTGTCATTCTTGTCATTCCTGTCATTTGGAGAAGCTTGTCGGCAAGGCTAAAAAAGCCGCGAATCTTGTTCGTTTCTGGGCCTTACCGACAAGCTTCTCCAAATGACAGGAATGACAAGAATGACAAGCCCCAGCCCGCCGCCAAAAAAAAATAAATAATTAAATAATTAATTAATTGGCTCCTCGGGGTGGAGTCCAAAGCTGTCACGGCGGCGCCGTGGGCCCGGGATTGAAATCTCTCAGCTGCCGCACCGCTAAAGGTACCTCCGAGTCAGCCGCGCCTTAGGCTCCGCGGAGCCGCGAGGCACCGGGAGCGCATGCTTCAGCAGAGTCTCCGAGCCGTCCGTGGCCCGCACCGTCATCGAGTCGTAATTCGCAACCTCCCGCACCGCCCCGTACTGGGGCTGGAAGCTCCTCGCCGCATTGGTGGGGGCCCGGAACGCCCCCGCCTCCTCGAGCCGCCGCTGACGGCTCCTCGTCAACTCGTCGTTGTGCTTGAACTTTTGAGCATTGTCTTGATACACCCGGAAGCTCGCAGCCGGCATCGTCTCCACATCCTCGGGGGCCACCGTCACGGCCGCATGCGGGCGGGCATTGTAGGCTTCCGCCGCCTCTTCCACATGGTCGCCCCAGCCCCCACCGTCCCGGGCCACCTTGCCCGCCAGATCCTTCTTCAGTGTTTGGATGGCTCGATCCACCACCGCCGTCGCATTGCGGTCGGAGGGGTCCTTCTGGCGGTGCACCGCGCCTCCGGGCAGCGCCGCCTCCAAACCCCGAAATTCGTTTCCCATGTCCGTCGTGACCACGACGTTGGTTTCGTCCTGGACCAGCTCGGGGATGATCTCCGCGGCCGCTCGGGTGACGGTCTCCGCCCGCTTGTCGGGCAGGGCCTTCGTGGCCACCTCCCGGGTGAACACATCCGTCACCACAAGCCCGTACTTGTTCGCCCCCCTCGTGTTCTGGGAGAAATCCACCAGATCCGCTTGCAAGCGGTCGTTCGGCCCCTCCGCCGCACTCTTCCCCAGACTCCGCGGCTTCGGTGCGAGCACCTGCCGCGCCACGTCGCTGCGCAATGCCGCCTGGGCCCGCGCGCTTGTGAGGTCCCGTCGGTCCGGAAACTCCCGTCTCGCGATCTGGTAGAGCTTTCTAGGATCCCTCACGTTGTAGTCTCTAGCAAGCCTCCCTAAGAGCTCCATTGCCCCGTCCTCTGCCATTTTATACTGAGGTGCATGCGCTGCTTTCGTGCAAAGGGCTGCAAACGGCAAGGCGCGGCAGGGGCTGGGCGGGGTTCCTGCTTGATGCGCTCGCCCTGCCGCCAGGAGACTTTTCTGTGGTCCATTGGCTGACGCGCACCTGCGCTCGCTACCGGGCACCGCAAGGCTGGCTGTGGGCGATTCGGACGCTGTGATCAGCTTCTCAGGCGACGCCTATGACCGCACCGCCTTCTCTACGAGCGGAAGGTGCCTCGGCTGCGCTTTTGTCGTCTCAGTCCGAGTCGCCTTTGCGCCCCTTCTTCTTCTCGAGCTTTTCGACCCGCTTCTGCAGCTTCTTGACCACGCCCCACAGCACCACGCTGAGCTTCTGATAATCGAGGGCCATCAGCTCCCGGCCGTCCAGGTTCTTCGTCTTGCACATCGTCGCTCCCAGCTTCCCGCTGGCTTGCACGTCTTGGGCCACGAAGCCGATCTGCTCCCTGCCGCCGTCGATGCGGTCGTAAAGCAACGGCTGCACTTTGTCGAAGGTCTCTTGCAGCTCCTCCTCCGGGATGGCCCGGACGTTCTCCTTGAGTGCCCGGTCCGAGAGATTGACAAAGCCATACCCGAAGATCACCTCCCCGTCGTTGCTGCCCCCGATGTTGGGCTCAATCGCCAGGTTCGCCAGGCCGTTGGTGGTGTTGATGCTGATGAACTGGTTCACGGCGTTGAGCTCGCAATTGCCGCCGGCCAGCACCTTGAGCTCCGCCACGCCCGCCTGGTTGTTGGCGTCGAGGAGCAGCTTGGCATCTCCCGTGGGCGCGGCGTTGCGCACCACGACTCCCACAGTGCCGTCCGTGGGCCCCACCGCGATCTGCTCCAGCAGCGGGCTGAGCACCTGCACGCCGCTGGTCCCCCCCGACAAGCTCAGGAAGGGCAGGCTGGCCTCGGGGCCCAGCACCCCGTTGATCCGCACGGTGGCGTCCATCAGAATGCCATTGGTGCCGCCCTGGACGGTGAGCCAGGGCGCCGCCGGATCAGAGCGCACCAGGGGCGCCTCGAGCCTGAGGTCGCTCGTGATCTCCTGCGTGGCCGTCACCGAGCTGCTGCTCGCAAAGCTCCCCGTGGCTGCGGTGCTGCCGACGAAAAACTGGGCGACGTCCGCCGTGGTTGCATTCAAAGTGCGGTCCGAGCGCACGGTGATGTCTTGCTCCAAGCCGATGCTTCCGGCAGCGAAGGAGGCCACCAATGTGCCGTCTTCGGCGCGGATGGTGGTGGTGAGATCGGCTGCAGCGCTCTGCAGCAATGGTGTCTGCACGAAGCTTGTGGCCGTGAGGCTGTTGACGGTGAGGTCCGCCGTGGGGTCCACTCCTGGGCTGTTCTCCAGGTCGGTGACGCGCTGGCCCAACGAATTGAAGTTGGCTATCAATGGGTAGCGGGTGTCAGACTGTCCCTTGCTCCAGCAGTCGCAGCTGATTTGGAGGGTCGACCCATTCCCCAGGATGGGCTGGGCGGAGAGGGGCGATTGGCACAGGAGGTTTCTGATGATGCGAGGGGTGAACTGGGTCTGGACCAAATTGAAGATCCCACCGCCCTCTGCACCGGGGCTGTTGACGAAGTAGCGGGCATCCAAAGGTCCGAGGTCGTTGGTCCTCAGGAAGCGGCCGTCCGCCTCGGCCTTGGTCCAGGAGTCGCAGCGGAGCCGCAGCGTACTTTGATTGCCCAGAATTGCGTCGCCCACCAGGGGCGCCTCCAAAAGCAAATTGCGCACGATCCGCGGAGTGAACTGCTCCTGGACCAAATTGAAGATCTGCCCCGACTCCGCACCGGGAGCCCGCACGAAGTAGCGGAGATCTGCGTCCGCCTGGGTTTGGAAGCCCGCGCCGGCGATGGCATCGTCGATCTCCGTTTGGGTGCGCCCTGACGTCCAGTATTGGGTGAGCGTGGCCGTGAGCAGGGAGTCCAGCTCCGTGCGGGGATAATACGCGAGGAGCTCGTTGGCCACGTAGCTCTGCGTCTGGGCCTGGTCGTAGTAGCCGGAGAGATCCACGTTGCCCAGGGCGTTGGCTATCTCCATGGTCTACCTCCGCCCGCGTGTAGAAGTCCAGCAGAGCAGTTATTATCTTGCTGTCGACGACCCCGCTGGGGTCATAGCTCGACAGGGCCGAGGAAATGCTTGAGCTGACGGAGGCAGACGTCGCGTAGTTGGCCAGCTCTCCCACCACGAAGCTCGAGACCTCGGCTTGGGTCCAATAAGCCAGCAGGGCCTGGTCGATCAGGAACTGCACCCCCGCAGCGTCCTGGTACTGCCCGACGTTCAGGGCAGCGATGGCATCGGAGATGGCGGTGTTCATCTCCGAAGTGCTGCTGTAAGCTCCCAGGGCATCGGCGATGGCCGTGCCCACCTGCAGCGTCGTGCTGTAGGCGGCCAAGATCTCGTTGCTCACCCAGG